AAGCGCCACTCAGGCGAGCCCTGAAGAAATGACGCATGTGCATCAAACAGGGGTGGGCACAAACTAAAGGAAGTCCAGGATCGAAGCTGTTCCTGGCATTTGAGAGCATTCCAGTAATATCGCTAACACAGAACACTCACATTCATGGTCGGAAGGTCTTCGCATTCTTGGCATTTGTTATTTTATTATAAATTTTAACATTCTTGTTTACTGTACAAGTTTTAAAACATTTTCCAGAATTTGTTGTTTTCAAGGATTTCCGAGAAATCTTTCCTAATTCATTATTCTATCTTTATGAATTAAAGTTTTTGTCCTGCTTGTGTTTTTTTATTTTTGCAGGTTTTAATTTCACATGATTGGCAATGCGTTAATCCGCCGAATGCGACTGATTCTCGCAATCTGTAAACGCGCCTTATGATTTTGAGTTGCTATTTATTATTTTGGCATAATTCATAAGTGTGAAATCTTTCATCTCTGTTGTAGATTGTTTGTTGAACTATTCCAAAATAAAAACATATAGGAGTATTTTACTCTAGCACCAAGAATTTCCGGACAGAAACCCTACAGCAATGTCCAGTGGAAAGTTGCAACGTGAAGCTGGATTTGGAGAAGGGTGGAGACAGGAGGTGTTCTTCACGTTGTCCTCTCAGTTCTTAAATTGAAAAGTTCTCACCAATCGACGCTACATTACTGTTTAAAATTCGGCAGTTAAGTAAAATAAAGCTTTGTATCTCAACCGAGCGATAAGCTGATTCTTGCAGTAATAAGTTTCCTTTTCGCAATGGTAATTTGGCCAGCTGTGGTGGAACACGGCAGAAGACGAGCAGTGTGCCTGAAAAACAGTTGATGTATATAAACAGCAAATTAGCGAAGCTATTATAACAACAAATATGACTCATATATGTGCAGGATTTCTGTGGAGAATTTGAGTAAGTTTACCGGAGAAAGGAATTTCGAGACTATAGCACTGATAAATATACTTGACAAAATCATTTGGCGCATGCGCGGCCATTGATCATAAAATATTCAGTCTACTTGAACAAGAGCTATTAAGTGCATCGTCTCGGCTGATATCGGAAATATTCACGATTTCGTCGCACTGTTTGAAAATCTGCATCAAATACTGCTGTTACAAAAAGAGTTTTAGTGTAATTGCTCGCATTTAATTTGCATATTCATGGCTAGTGGCCTGCATGTTCCTCATAAATGAAGCTTTAAAAGCGGAAAAATGAACTCAGTACAGTTACTGTTTAGTTTTTACCGCTGTGGAACACTAGTTGAAGGGCTACCGGGGAAGAAATGGAAGGAGCGAAGGATTGCGGGGATGCAGTCGAGTTGCCTAGACGTCATGCCGGAGATGAAACCGATGAGCAAGCTTCTCCTGGGCCGGAAGCGCATGCAGCAGAGTCAGCACATGGAAACAGTCCCCCAAGCGAAGCGAGGTACCGCAACTGCGCCATTCAGCAAGTTCCCTGTCCTCTTTGTAACGCTAATCAAAAAAGTTTCAGATACCTGGGGGAGCTTGTCGAAGTGCTACTCAAACTAGGTGAGTACCGGAACCAGCAGATCGGGGGCAGAGACAAGTTTCGCCTTACGTATGGGCTTGTTATCCGGGAGATCGATCGCGTCTGGAATCTCGTGTACGCGAGGGCTCGTAGAAATGGCATCTTACCGTACAGACGCTACGTACACGAGGTAGTCGCATTCGCTATTATTATTATTATTATTAATATTATTATTATTATTATTATCATCATTATTATTATTATTATTATTATTATTATTATTATTACCGTTTCATTTTACATTCCGTCTTCAGTATTTCCAAAAATGCTTCGCAATCAGCTGATATCTATTGCCTGAATAGCGGTGCTTTAAGTAAATTAGCATCAGAGAATAAATATTAATTGAATATTGCTGCCAAAATGGTAAAACTGCATATTCTTGCTGATTTGTGCTCCGATCGTTGTGTTTGCTGCAGATACCAACTACTCGTTTGGTCGTACTGGAAGAAAAAGTCCCAATCCCAGAACGTCCGGAATGCAAATTTATCGGGCGCATTCTGGGACCGCGTGGAATGTCCGTGAAGCAGCTGGAAGCACGAACGCAGTGCACTATTTCGATTCATGGCAGGGGTTCTGTCAAAGTAAGGATCCAGTGCAGTGAATTACTTTAAACAGTCACTACTAGCAAACCAACGCCGCTGTGCTGTGCTTTATTTCATATCTGACGTCTTCGGAAATACGGTTGGACACAGTCAGCAACGTCTGAAAAAAGAGTATCGGTTTTTTTCTGCCACTAACCGTTAATTAAAAAAAAAACATGCTTACTTATTTTGATTGCTTAATCAGCTGCTGTTGCATCATCGTGTTTAGTTTCTCATTGTTGCAATTTGAAAATTTTTCCCTCTTTCTTTATTTTGCGCTTCCCTTATTCACAGGCGGACCCAGGGATGA